CGCGGCGAGCTTCACGCCAGCCATGAAGGGCCGGTAGAGGTTAAAAGAACGCGACGGGAAGGACCAGGAGCTCACCACTATCGCAACTACGCAATCGGTTGAAGCGGGGAAGGAGCGGAGATGCGTCGTCGTCGTTGAGGGCGGGTGCGGTGGCTTGATCGGTGGTGAGGATGATGTTCCAGCGTGTCCTACGTGGTAGAGATAAAAACAAGGAGTTGATAAGCTTAAACGCATCTCAAGGAAACTAGAACAGCAAAATATAGGGCGGGAGATGCTCTGGTGAGGCCTAGCCACGGTGGAGGCGCACGCGGCGGCCATGGCGAGAGCGTCGTGGCGAGAACGGCGTGCATGGCAAAATCTGACGGAGCGGGCCAATGAGAGCGGGTTGGGAAGAGGCGCATGGATGGGTCGGGGTTGTGGGCGTGGGCGTGGGGAATTGGACAGAGGTGGAGCGGGCGTGACAAATTTCGTCGATGCGTTGATCGGCCGGCGGTGAGCAGGAAATAGAAAAGGAGGGAGGTGGCCGGCGCGGGCTCTTTATTAGCGAGAGCTGCTTCTCCAGCTTCGCGACCACCTGCTTGGCTTATCCACACAGGCAGTTGTGTGCCCACGCTCGAGAAGCGGCGTGAAGAGGCAATGGCCATCGGCGGCAAGCTGCTGCGTGGCAGCTGCTTCGTCGGGGCACTGTTCATGCCTGACAGTGTTTCTTTCTCCCTCTCTATCTCTTGATCCTATGTAGAAACTTGATCATCGCCTTTAATAAAAGTTGATCTCTGAACTAAGGCCTCCAACTTTGATTACAGGGACAACATTAAAAACTTGCTAGTTTTGAACATTTTGATTCTTGAAATCAGGAACATTGAAACTGAAACTGAATTTAGTTTCAAGGTTTGAAAAACAGTTTTAGTTAAGCATTTTTGAGCAATTAATTAGAAGCTAAACATTGATCAAACATTTCAACTAATAACACATTATCATAGCTCAAGCATTACACCAATTCATGGAACAAGAGTTGGGCAAATTTTATTTATGAAAATCATTTAAATAAATCACCAAAAATTGAACTTGACAACTAAAATTCAGGGACTTAGTCAAAAATGGTTGTGTGAATTTCAGCACCAAATCCAATCTTTGAGCTCAAATTTAAACATGTTTCACTTGGAAACATCACTAACTTTTGATCCCACATTATAGAGCTTACCTTGAGCAACAAAGTTTATATTAACAAAATTTTCATTGTTTAAGCAATTATTACTCTATAAATTCATAAAGAGCCTTAATCATTAATGTTGTTAACATTTCATGCAACATATAAAACATCATATAAGCAACATAGCAATGCTATAAATGAAACTTGGAGTGCATACATGACATGATACTTGGTGATTATGCTTGATGATGCTCATGATCAGGTTTTAACTGCTTTTTAACATCTAGGATGTTACAGTGGTGCCCGCGATGGAGGCGACAACAGTGGTCGGGTGGGTGTGGCCTCTCACAGCAAGGCGACAGTGGCTGTGCGGTCATGGGGGAGCACGTCGCAGTGGTGCGGGCGCAGTGGTAGTGGAGAGGAAGGCCGACGGGAGCCGTGGTGGAGAGGAAGGTGTGTGGAGGCACGGCAGAGCGCAGTTGTGGCGATGCGTGAGTTTTGTTTTTATAACCTACAGTGACGGGAGGGGAGCGGATAGGATAGCCTTCTAGACGTCAGGGTCGACAAACGGGGGCGTCCGCACGCGGATGGACGTCTGCTTCCTAGCATTACCGAACGATAATGCTTGGCCACGGACGTCCTCCCCATCCAGATGCTACGCGCCTCACTCCACTCGCTGCTGTGGCCTTCTCCAACTACGCGCCCTAACCTACGTCGCTCACTCACTTGCTCCTCGCTCCTACCCGTCGCGTACCCCACTTGTGCCGCTCACTCCTCGCTCCTCTCTCCCGCATGTCACACGCCCCACCCACCCTTGCTCCTCGCTTTGGCTGTGCGCTGCGCCGCTCGCTCCCTCTCATAGCGCGCGCCGCCCGCCTTCCGATCTAAGGCTGGTGCTGGTGGTGATGGTGCTCGCGCGCCATCGCTCGCTGATGGATCCCACCCCGACGACCGAAATCGACCGGCCTCGGCCTTCCCCTCCCCTATGTTGTAAATGTATGTTTCAAGTGTTTCAGATGTATATTGCAAGTGTTAGATATAGATGTTGCAATAGTAGATGTTGCATATTTTGCAAGTGTTTTTAGAGGTATGTTGCAAACGTATGTTCAAAATATTTTATCTGTTTCAGACATATGTTGCAGCAAGTGTTTTATCTAGATGTTGCATATGTTTCACACACATGTTACAAGTGTTTTATCTGGATGTTGCATATGTTTCACACACACGTGTTGCAAGTGTTTTATCTGGATGTTGCATATGTTTTACACACATGTTGTAAGTGTTTTATCTAGATGTTGCATATGTTTTGCAACAATATGTTTCAAACGTTTCATCAGTGTCAAACGTATATGTTGCATACAAGTGTTTCACGGGTGCACGGTGAGTGATGGGCGCACGGCCCAAGCGCCGAGGGATGGGCCGGCAAGCTAGGAGCCACCAGATGGGGGTGCAGCCAGCTGGGGGCCGGCTCCCGGGTGCCGCCCACGTGGAGAGAGAGGAGAGGGTCACGGGGAAGGAGCGGGGCGCAGCGACAGGGCAGGGTGCGCGTGCGAGGCGACGGGAATGGGCTACGTAGCTAGCCCTGGGCGTTCGGGTTACCCGAATTGTTCGGGTCGGGTAATTCAGGTAATACAAATTTCGGGTAATAGAAAATGCTACCCGATTTTAGCCCCGAAAATTCACTACCCGTAACTTCGGGTACCCACAATTTTGGGTTCGGGTTCGGGTAATACCCGATGCACCTTGTTTCTCCCCCAAGATTGACGCACGGGGTGGCTGGTGAGGGCGACGCCGTGGCGCTTGGGAGTTAGGATCGGTGTGCATAGATGCGAGGTGTCAGAGTGAGAGAGGGCGGCGCGCAGCGACTCCGCCTCAGCATGCGATTCTACCTCCGCATGGGATTTGCCTCCGCCTTCGCATGCGATTCCGCCTCCACTCTGCATGCGATTCGAGTCCGTAGCAACTCTGCCTCCTCATGCGCGTCGCCCCACGCCCCTTCGGCCTTCGATAGTCGTGAGCTCGCGGTTAGGTTTACGCGAGCGACGAGACAAGGAGAGGGAAAGAGGTGAGATCACGGGCCTGGGGAGGACGTTGGCCTGTTGGGCTTGGCTGCTCGGGCGGGCATCAGGCTGGTGAGGCATGCGGAGGATGTTGGCCTGTTGGGCTCAGCCGCTCGGGCGGGCATCAGGCTGGTGAGTGAAATCTTTCGGTAGTTTGGGTACCAGGCGGTATTACCCGAATTACCCAAATTAATATCGGGTAACAAGAATCACTATCCGAACTTCAGATTGGGTACTGCGGGTTCGGGTAGTTCAGGTTTGGGTAATGGGCATCGGGTATCTTGCCCAGGGCTATGCGCAGCTGTCCGGACATGAAGAGCGACGGGCGCTGCATCGAGGGCGGGGTGCGCATGCGAGTCAGAGCGAGGTGGACGAGGCGAGCTGCACGGGCATCCCTTGGACGTCCGACCTTACCGAAAACTATAGCTATGTGTGACACAGAAAAGAGTGGCAGGTAACAAGTCTGCTGAGAAGTGAGAACCACATCCAGTGCTCGGCTGCTCGCTTTCTCTTCGATTGATTTCTACGCAGAGAAGCACTATCCTCTCAAGGTGCGTGCATCGTTGCAGGAGCATTTCAGCTCGTGCATTGCATGTAGGGGCGGATCCAAAGGGGGGCTGCCGGGGCTACAACCCACTAGTGAGTCTGATTTCTTCATTAAAACATGGTTACTTAGCCTCAAATCATCATTAATTTTTTGCTCTAGCCCTAAATCTTTATTGGCCTCCTTCGGCTTACCTTAAATCCGGCTTGTTCGGCTTTTTTTTAATCGAAACAGTATTTTCTCTCACAACATTTCAGTCAGAACAGTGTTTTTCAGTCAAGTTTCAGCAAGCCGAACGGGACCATTATTTAGCCCATTTGTTCCCATCCTGTATGCGCCACTTATTGCATGGTTATGAAAACTGAAAAGGAAGGCTTTCTATACACTTTGCTTGCATAGTTTAGCCTTAAAAAAAGAGTTTTGTGTCGTGCCCCATGTTTTGCTTTCACGATCAACAATATTTAGCACGTGTGGAATCTAGAACAGGACAGGAGCGAGCCACCTCAGCCTCCTCTCACTGACACGGCGGCCCCGCCAGGCTGAGGACAGTGAGACCCAACCAACCCACTGGCCACTGGCTGCGTGCTTCGCCTGATCCCCTCGTCGCACGAGTCCGAAGGAAGAAGCGAAAGCGACGGGCAGAAAACCATGGTCGCGAACTGAGACGACCGCGCCGACAGCCACGAGCTCTTCCTCGTCCCCCTGCCCCCACCCCCCGCCGCGGCCTCTTCCTCCGCCCCCAGCCAGACGCTCCGCCCCTGTCTGCGTCCGGTGCCCAGGGCTCCCGCTCCAGCCCGCCACCCCCCTTGCGTCACGCATTCGCGGGAGGTGGTTCCAGGTACGGTCTCGTTCCAATCCCCTCCCAAGCTGCTGTTCTAGTTCTAGCTGCTTGATTGATGTTGTGTTGGATTGCTCTCCAGTCGATGCATGATTGATGTGGTTAAGGCAGACAACCTGTAATGCCCCTAAAAACATACGGAGTATATAATAAAAGAAGGCAACTAACCTGTTTCATTCAGTGTGTTTTTACCCCCACAGAATTATTTAGGCTTATTACAGCACCTTCTAAACTGCTGCCAAGTCCTAGTTTTTTTTTTTTTTACCTTTTTAGGATACATAATCCTGTTGTTATGTCGGTGGCAGTATGCTTGTTTACTCGTTGAGGTTTATGTATTGATGTCAAGCATGCATCATTAGCATTTCCAGCCATCAGAATTGTGACTCTGGTGCAGTACATGAGGACCCCATGGATTATGCAAGTACAAGGAGGTAAGCTAGTGGCTGCATGTTGGATGCGTGGTCAGATATTGTCTAAGCCCTATCAGCTCATATTTCAACAATTGCTTGTCCCATACAGATTTGCCTAGAATTATATTCCTATTGTGTAATGATGCAATGCGTTCTTGATGTGCAACTATTACATATTCAATTCAGAAGAACTTAAGAAGCTACCTTTATTTATTTTTTCCTTTCTCAGGGCATTATGGAATGCTTAACAACAAGTTTTGCAAGGTAGGCTATTATGTTAGTCATGTTGTTTAAATGGTTCTTTACCTGATTTTTCACTTTTTGTGATTTCCTTTACCTGATCTTAGTATGTTCACGCCTTGTTGGACAACTTGGGCATTGAACCTGGTAATCTAGTTTCATTTTTCTTCCACCAGTAATTTTAACATGTCATTTTTTTTTGTTCTCAAGAAATGTGGGAAAAGAGTACAGCTTCGTATGTTCAAGTAAGTTGGTGTCTGAAAACCAATGGATTCCCAAAAGGATTTGCTGCTATGCCTCTAGCTCGACAAACTCCAGTCGATGCCGCAAGTTCACTAATATGGCATACCCCATGAGCCCAATTATTCGAAAAAGGTCACGCTGGAGATCCTTTGCTGCAAGTTTGAACTTAGAAGATGACGCTGCACCCTCTGACTCCACGTCATCTTCATCAGAGCAGACTGCTGATGCTGATGGAACTACCAACGGTGATGCATCTGAAGATCTGCTTTCTCGAAAGCTGAGCTCTGATGAGGTATCTGTTGAACTCAGCACTATATTATTTAGCCTATGCAGTACCTCTTCAGATGACTAGCCTATACTGGATGTTTTTCTACTTCTAAGATACAAGTATACTTTCTTCTTTTTTTTGCTTTTATTTCTGTGTTGTCCGGTTGGACGTCTTCTATTCAATTTCTATTTGTGGAATTGGTTAATTGGAGGCTTTATATGCAGCATTTAACATAAGAGAAAGATACATCTCTATAATGCCTATGACCATGTGCCTCTGTTTCCTGTTGATACATTTAACTTAAAAGTCATTAAGATTGCTAAAATACTAATAAGAAATCAAGTCATTAGACCTGGGTCAGGTACCTGTTCAGTTAACGAAGAACCATCTAGATTAAGCTAATCTCTTTGCAATCTTATTAACTAATGCAGTCCTTTCTAAATTACTGAGAAGGTAAGCAAAAAAAAGTTTGCTTGCAGCACTGATTTGTTTGTTGATTGGATTAGAGATTTGTAGCTTCAGTTGAATAAAAGAACAAGTCCAGGATGTTGCATTTAATTTTTTTACTTAGAAAATCATGAGTCCTAATTTTCATGCATTGCTTATTCTTTCTGTAATTTTGCAGTTAAAGGCTCTTTTGGCTGATTCAGAACGAAGTAAGCTTTTGAGAAGACTCAGCGAAGCAAATCAATATAACCGATTCCTCAAGAGACAGGTTATTTTTGTCCATAGCGAACTATTTTCTACTTCTCCCAAATACTAAGCTACCGAAGGAATAACCAACAGCGGCTCAATTTCTTAATGTATTGAGAACAGCATCTAGACATTTAATAAAAGGAAAATCAACTGTTCTGTCCAGTCATTGTGTTTGCAGTCATGAGGTGGTCAGCGACATACAGTGAATCTGCTTTTATCAGAAACAAAAGCATGTAGAACTCACCAGCAACTTTTAAGTTCAATTTAATTACCTTTTTAGCAAAATCAAAGGATGTCTGCTTAGCAAAAATAGATAGAGAAAGCATAACTTAAAAAATAGGGCTGTAGCAAAGCTAGGGAGTAGGGAGAGCACTGCCCAGGACTCCGAGTCCTGGACTTGAAATGCAACGCACAGCAGTTGCTCACAAAATATAATTGTGAACATAAAAGCCTGGCTGTAGCTGTTAGTGATTAGCAAAAGTGAGAAATAACTGAGACAAGTAACTTTAGAAGGCCTTTTCTTTTTGATCGATGTACATGTCTACATGATTCTTGAAGCAGCTTGTTGCAAGAGAAAGGGTTTATCTTGGAAATTCTGCAGCTCATTTTATGCTACCTATACCTCAAACAATTGTCACTTTTGCCAGATGCAAAAAAAAAAAGAACCAAAATACATTATAATTGACAGTACATTAGCTGTGACACAATTGTTTGGTGAACTGAGGCTTATCATACATTTGAGATGTTTTTTCTGTATCGGAAGGATATATAGTAGTTGCTATGTCGAATTTGCACAATGCTAACTTAATTTTATGTTCTGCAGTTGCAAATAAAGGATGGTGCAGTTGTTAAGTTCAAAGGTGAACTTGCTGTTTTGGAACTAGAACTGCAGGTTAGCTCGTATAGGCGGTATAGTGTTTTCTTGTTTTAAACTTTTGGTGACTACACTTTGTGTTTAACTTTGTGTTCATCAAGATATATATTTGCACATATAATTTTTTTGGGCCCTGTTTTGTGTCCTACATATGTTTGAATTCAGCCTGTACATGGTCCGGGTTTCCCGGGTTATGGTTAATTTCCGACCCAACCCGCGTATGTAGCGTATGGAACGGGCTGGGTTGGTTTCCGACGGTTTGAGTGCGGGCTCGATGAATCTCTGGGTTGGGTTGGTTTAGTGGTTTCACCGGGTACCGCACAAAGGAGATTAGGAGAGCGACATCGCGGCGGCGGCGCATCGCGCTGGACAGCATCGTGAACATGGAACTCCCTCCACTCTCGCCGCCTTCCTGTGCCTGGTGTGGCGGCCCTCCTCCGACGAGCCCGAGCTCGCCGACAGCACCGACCACACGGGCAACCCCGGCGCCGATGCGGACCACGCTGAGTCTGACCTTGTTCGCTTGTCGTGCAACTACGCACTGGTGCCGCTATGACAAGCGGAGGAGTCGAATAGCGCAGCAGCAGGCGGCCTTCGTACAGCTGATCTTCCCGTTCAGCGCCTTGTGCAAGGATTCAATCGCGCCGTTCGACGGTGATGGCATGTTGGTGCTGGACTGCCTGGACAGCCCTCACGGCGGCGGCCTCGGCGGCGGCGGCAGGGCGTGGTCGTTGTGAAGGTGAAGCTGGGCCAACTCGGATGCGGCGCAGCGGGGCTGCCGTCTGGGCCGCTGTCATGCCGCTCGACGATCGTCATCGTCCCCTGCTCCCCGCCACCATGCTCATCCACATCGGCATCTCCAAGAAGAGGACGGGTTGCTCGGGTTACTTGGGTTCAACCCGTGACCCGTTAGAACTGCTTTGCCATGAAGCCGGTTTTGACGGAAACCAGCCCAGACCGTGTAGAGAGAGTTAGTCTGGTCTTGCATGGATTGGGTACGGGTCGGTTCCCGGGTTTAGCAAACCGATGAACAGGGCTAGTTTGAATGTTACCAAAACTGCCATGTCCCTGCTCATCCAAGAGAACCTACTTTTTTTGGCTGGTCAGTCAGGTTCCCTCATTTCTTTAGATTCCATATGATAGTTTGTGGGATAGAAGTATTTCTCTTAAGGATATCAAACTTGAATAATATTTGCTGGTTGCCACTGGGGAGAGGATAATATTGTAATCTCCTGTATTTGTCCTCTTTAGAACTGGGTCTAAAGCTATATTTCCTTTCCTAGTTTTATTCAAATCTTGTTTGGTGAGTATATTTTGGATGAATATTGATGGGTTTTTTTTACTCAAGCAAGTGTTTATGTTTTGTACATGTACCCTTTCGTTGATGTGAACAGGCTCTGGTTGGCCTAGCTGAAGAGATTGCTAATTTTGATGTTCCGTTAGGGTCTAGGAGGATAAACGGAAAATATATTCAATCTCATCTTCTCTCCAGATTAGAAGGTAAGTGGCAGCAATGAGCATGCAATGCTTCAGGTTGAATCAATATTTTGAAAAATTCAGTGACATTATTTTTGCTCTCCTGCAGCTGTTCATGATAAGATTATGGAACAGATAAAGGATGTTGGCTCTTTAAAGACCCAAGAAATTTCTGTCTACTGGGTTGGCATGGCTGAGGTAAACTTTTGTTGACTTGTTATATGAGGAACAAAAGTTATTTTTGCAGCAATATATAAATTATTTTCAACTCCACATTACATTGTCATGTCTGCTATTGTCCCCATGGCCGCTTCTTTAGTTCTTACATCTCTGTTGATGTATGTTTCCACATCAGAATGTGCAAATTATGGGTTCATTCGACGGATGGTCACAGGGTGAGGCAATGTCCATGGAGTATTCAGGTGACTATGGAAGATTCTCTGCGACTCTGAAGCTAAGACCTGGAAGGTTAGTTTTATCAGTTTTTCCCATGCTGATCAGCTTATTTTCTTCACGTAAATAAACTCGCTGTGTGCCCCCTGGAAGGTATGAGATCAAGTTTTTGGTTGATGGGGAATGGAGATTGTCGCCTGAATATCCCACTGCTGGAGATGGAATGACGCAGAACAATATTCTTATTGTGGAGTAACAGAACTTTCTCATCTAGCATTACAATGTGGAAGTGTACCTTCATGCTTTCTTCCATCTGTAATATTATGCTACCATGTGGTTGCCTGACAGAAATCAGTGTTTGTTGAAATGCAAGGCTCCAGTTTGCATCAGTGTGTTCTTTATCGTGACATATGCTCCCTTCGTATTTAAATATATGACGAATAAATTAGCCTATCCTGAACGTCATATATTTAAAAATGAAGAAAAAACTAGTGCTACATCACAGTGATTTGTTCTTTTATATGCCCTAGACTACACCTGTACTGTCTGAGACAACCAAAAGTGTGAGATGCTCCTATTTAAGTATTTATTACTTGAAACTTTTGGACATAGATGTAGAGACAGACACATGCCAGTAGTGAAAGCTTCTACAGATGCGTGTACCAAACATCGGTTGAGCCCTGCAGCTCTATTTCCTGTGACTAATCTGAGCTGCCACAGGAGCTTCCATGGACCTCAGCTACCTCCTGCACCATCAGCCTGACCACCGGCTGAGCCGTCCCGGAGCCAGATGATGTTGACGCGCCTGACAACGCCGGGACGACATCGAGGCACTCCTGGAAGTCGGCGTCGCAGGACAAGAGCACCCACTCGTTGTCATCGTCCAGGTACTTGACGTCGAACTCGCCGGCCTCCAGCCCCAGCCGCTTGGCCACCTCCCCCTTCACCGTCGCGACGCCTGCGGAGCTCGGCACCCTGAACCTGATGATGTCCGCTCTATAGCTCGCTTTGACAGTCACCACTCTGGCATCTCCACCGGGCAAAGGCTTGCGCCATGTGGCCTCCTTCAGAGGAGGCGGCGGCGCTTGGCATGAGCCTTGGGAGGAGGCCACTCTCAGAGCACTTGATAGGCATGGTAAGGCAGGAGCACGGCGAGCAGCAGCAGCCACAGCTGGAGCTTGCTGAGACGCAGCAGCCACAGCAGGAGCAGAAGCGGCCATGGCCTGTGATGAGCCTTGCACCGACTCAAAGACGCGCTTGATCTTGTCAAGGAAGCGGTTCGCCTTGGCGAGCTTGCGGAATGGCCACCTGGAGATGCCGTGCTGTCTGCAGATGCGCTTCATCGTTGTTGGACAAACTGCACAAGAAGACAGGCATGTTATTGTTATCTGACTCATGATCCAGCATTCAGTCATGAACATGGCTTTATGTCAAAATGTTCAGGAGCGATTCGCATTTTCGGATAAATATAGATGGACAAGGAATTCATAGCTGCTCCTGACATGACCTTTCTTCACTTACCACCAAGACTCTTGGCTGCATCTTTCAGGCTTCCAGAGAAGTAGTGCTGCAGTTCTTCCAAACTGACAGTTTTTTCACCTTTCCTTTTCGTCGTCTTCTTACCAACTTGTGATCTTGGATCCTCGCCACCATGGTGTTCGTCATGGTGCATCTTGAGTGCTTCAGTGTCTGCAGTACCCATAACTGCCACCAGATGTAGACCCTCCTCATCTGAATCCCGCCGAAGCACGCACTCGCCATCTGCAACGATGTCAAAAGCCAAATCCTGCAACCCGCTTATCACGACCGCCTTCAGATCGCCATTGCCAAACCGCTCCATGATGGTGGCCGCGACGGCGTCCGCTGCCGCCTTCTGCGCCACGCCGTCCCTGCAGTCCGGCGGGAGGAAGAACTCCAGCACGCACTCATCCCAGCCGCCGCCGCCGCGGCGGAGCTGCGCGCACACCGCGAGGCAGCCGGCCAGGCCGCAGAACCGCGCGTGGTGCGCGAGCGGGTACGCGTCCATGGAGTACTTGGTGACGTCGGCGCAGAAGCGGGGCCGGCGAGCCGCGGCCGCCTCCTCGACGAGCCCGCCGCAGCCGGAACGCAGGTGGTGCTCGACGCAGGCCTCGTGGAAGCCGAGGAGGGTTGGGTCTGCGTCGGCGGCGAGGTAGAACGGCGTGCCGGCCACCGTCAGGGAGGCGTGCTCCGTGCCGGTGCTGCAGCGTCTGCACCTGGCCCAGGCCTGCGCTAATGGCAGCTTGTGAGCCTCGCTCACTTTGCTCAAGATGTCTGCGACCTCGGACATGGCCACCTGAGCCGCCGCCTCATCGTCGTTCCAGACCTGGCTCGTGAGAGATTAACAGCATTGGATTGGATCAGTAGATGAACATGATGTGGCCGTGATCGTGGCCTCGAATGTTTTTCAATTTTGCTTAAATTTCATGTGATGGCATTCGCATTCGCACCTCGGGCGCAGGGCCGTGGCAGATCTCGGAGCCTCTCAACGCCACTGCCTGCATTGCATTGGCATGGACAGTGAACACGAGTTTGGAAAGCAGGTGCTATGATCAGAAGCTTCAAATGCCAAATTGATGAAATTGTGCCATTTCGATCGCTTTATTTGGTGGTTGAACGAACATTTCATGAAATAGTGTATGCTGTTGTTGCATCGCATCTGCAGCAAGACTGGGCGATCGATGGGCAGATGAAGAGTTGGAGCAGAGGAGGTACCTGGAGCGCCTTAGAGAGCCTGTCGACCTCGGCGGCGAAGTGGAGCCTGGGCGAGGTGGTGACGAGCTCGAGCACGGCGAGGCAGGACCCCGTGGCGGGGTCAAGGATGGGCAGCGCGAGCGCGGCCTGGATATCGTAGATGAGCGCGTAGCTGATGCGCGCGTACTCGCCGGTGCCGTAGTACTGCACGTTGGGGGTCCACTCGGGCTCCCCGGCGTCGAACACCCGCCCCGGCAGGCCCCGCTCCCCGGGCACGGCGGCGCCGCCGACGGGGAACGCGTGCGTGAGCGACACCGTCCGGTACTGGAACAGGCGGTGGCACCGCGGCGGCGGCAGCACGAACGGCTGGCCCCGGGTGGCCAGCACCCACCGGTCCCCGTCCCGCGCCGGCGCCCACACCTGCACAAGCGCGCCGCCATCATCGGCGTGCCCCGCCGCCGCGTCCTTGTAGATCCTCAGCGCCCGCGCGATCCGCTCCTTCACCGCGCCACCGACGGCCTCCTTGTTGTCCTGCGCGCCGGCGCTCGCGCTCCCACCTGCACGCACGGATCCACCCACCGAAACAGCCGTGAGCAGCAGGCGATCCGAACGGAACAGCGACCAGCGCTAGTCGTCGCTGGAGGCTAGAGCAGCGCTCCTCACATGGGCTGTCGCTGCTGCCCCGGGCGTCGCCGTGGCCGTGGCCGTCGAGGAGGAGGTCGACGTCGAAGCGCTGGAGCACCCCCCCGTCCATGTCGGCCTCCATCTCCATCACCATGTCTAGCTTGGCTGGCTCCGCATGCAACGACGACGATCCACGACGCGGAAAGCACAGCAATGTCGAGCCGCAGCTTCCCAGATCTCGCCACTCCTCTCAACAACTACTCCGCGGCACGGCAGGTCAGCGGTCGGCAGCCGCTTGTTTGGCGCCAGGTGGCGGACAGCGATTGGTGGGCCGCGATGGGATCCATGGAAATATTCCATGAACTTGGGTTATGCTGATTTGGATGCGTACGCGTGGGGAATGTGTGTGCCGCTGGAGGATTGGGCTTGGATCGGACTTCGGTTTAACTAATCCTGTGGGCGATTAAAAAAGCTTATCTTCACGAGCTGTGGACTTCTTATTTTCACCTTCGCCTTAATTAGGTACTGTCTGAATTTTCTGGTCTAATTTAAAGTTGATTAAAGTTAACGACTAAAGTGTAGATCACTTGTATGGTCTAGTTTAATGAACTAATAGTCTTTTTTGTGAGGTTGTCTAAACTTTAGGCAGTATTTTAGAGCACATGTTTAGAGCATTAAGAGTTGAAGCAGTAGTCTAGAGTTACATATCCAACCAGGGCCTTAGCAGTCTAGCACAAGAGGGAAGAATATATTACATATATCTTTTTTTTTTGTTATATTGAAAATATGGACCAAGATAAAGACTAAAATTGCTGTTATCGGAAAGCAGCACCAAGAATAGTTGCCATTGCCCATCTTATTACTTCCTCTGCCTTAAAACAGAAGGCATGATTTTAACTTCGTGCGGCCTTTAAAATCACACTTTCACTGCTAACTTTTCTTATAATATATACTCCTCCTTTCGGATATCCCATACACTACTGGACAAAACTTAACCGAGGCGGGCAAACCAACCGCCTCCGTCGAAAGGTCACGGTTAATCGGGCCTTAACGCCTCGGTTAATCGATTAACCGAGGCGGGCGCCTAAAGACAACCGCCTCGGTTAATGCTATTAACGGAGGCGGTTGAGTTAAGTAGCCTCGTTTAATAATTTCACAAAATAAAAAAGCCCACCGAGCCCGGTACCACGCGCGCGCCGTTGCAGGTAGTAGGATCCACGCCCCCGCAGTCGTCGGTGGCTGGATCCGCTTGGTGGTGGCCGGATCCGTGCCCCCACCGTTGTCGGTGACTAGATCTGCGCCCCTGCCGCCTCCGGTGGTCGGATCCGCCGCCGGTGAACAGTTGCAGGTCAGATCTGGTGGCCGACGCACGGGGGAAAGGGAGGGGACGCCGTGCTCGGAGGAGAGGGAGGGGTCATCGTGTCGTGCTCGGAGGAGAGGCGCGGCCGTCGAGATCCGTCGTCCTAGATCCATCGGGGGCGCCTCGTGTGCCACGGCCGCCGTCTGGGCAGCCCACATGCCGCGCCGCCGCCGATCCAGGGCCTCCCCATGCGCCGTTGGGACCCTTGCTTTCGAGACTTCGGAGGCGCCCGCATTCGGAGGCCGTTGCCATCGCGCGCGTGTGGCCCCATTGCTAAGGGTGCCTGGCGCTTCGCCACACCGCCCGCCCACGGCGCGCTCAAAGGTCGCCACGCCCCTGCCGGGAAGAGCCACCACAAGGTCGACGGAGCCCTGGGAGTGAGGGAGGGAGGGAGGGAGAGGAGAGCATGGAGCCCTCGTGTGCCGTCGGGAGAGAGGGAGTGGGAGGAGGTGAGAGAGTGATCTCGGATAACTGAAGAATGAAACCCTAATCTTGTATATATACAATGAGCGGGATATGGGCCGAGATGGGCTGCCTGCTGGGTCACTATTTACCGAGGCGAGCCTTATAGAGTGACCGCCTTCGAAAATGGATTAATCGAGGCGGTTGTTACCCAACCGCCTCAGTTAATACGCTTTGGACCAACCGCCTCGGTTAATGCTTATTAACCGAGGCGGTTTTCTTACATTGCCCGCCTCGGTTAAGCATTAACCGAGGCGGTTGCTGGCCTGGCTGCCCTGTCTCGAATAACCGAGGCGGGCAACCAGGCCGCCCGCCTTGGAGCCCATTTTGGAAACGTCTTGTAAAAGTTTTTGTGTAGTAGTGATAGGAACAAAAAAAATCAAAGTTTATCAACTTTAACCAACAATTATCCAAATTACATACAGTTTAGGACGTAAAACTTACGTCAATAGAGTTGTATCCAAAGTGTCTCTGATATATGATATTTTTATTCTTAAGTAGCAAATAACAATATATTGTAAAAGATAGTTATTAAAATCGATTTTGTATGACTTTTTACCATAGGCTTATCGTTTTGGAACATAGGGAGTATAATTTACAGCAACAAAAACTTGATCATCAGAAAGTATTTTCAGATACAAGGACAAATCCAATTAGAATCTTTTTTATACTGCAAATTTTTGTATGATTAGACTTTTAAATTCGTCGGTTAAAGACAATAAAGTTTAAATTTTGAAATTCATGCATGCTTTATATTTCAGGACGTGGTGAGTACTTATGTTTGACTGTGCTTTGTTGTCTTTTAGCATATTTGAAAGCATCTCTCTTTTCTCGAGGGTTCCGAGGCAATTGAGACGGCGGGGAGCCCGCCAAGTTTGCCCAGGTTAGTCATGCTCAAGCCGTGTGATTAGCGTTTAGCGACCAAATTTGGCCGTGTTGGAATGGGTAGGGTACGTGTCCACGTCAGACGATTGAATTCATGTTCAGAGGAACAAACATAGCAGGCGGTCAAGCACGTGGTTCGTTTTCCTTTTGCAAGCCGTACATGCCATTTGCCGGTTCTCGTTGCCTCTCCAGAAGACCACTAGCCAGCCACCTCTAAATTCTAACGAGTGATCTATTTATTTTTTACAGTGTATTTTTTATATATAGAGAGATGTCAACGTCCTGGAAACACATTCTGACTACGGGTATTATTACAGGATTTTTCGAGAATATTAGGGCTCTCCGGAGTCAGCTACGCACCAAAATTTAGTTAGATGGAAGAGAGAGAGAGTGATGAAAGAGTGTATTGGACCGTTTGGTGTAATATACTTAAAACAAATCTAAACTGTGAGCCAATTGACGTAGTTCTATATAACCTTTTCTTTTCTTGCTTGGCTTCTCTTCGTAACCTCTGTTTGTACTAAAACGTAAAAGCTAGATTATATTAGTTTATCTTGACCACATTTTTCTTCCATTTGCATAGCTTCCTTTTGAAAAAAAAAAATCATTTGCATAGCTTCTCTATACCAAACAGGAACAATATCTTCTTTTTTTTCAAAAGCTAGCTCCTACAGAGATATCCGCAGATGGGTTTCATGGTTTAGAGTATGTTTAGTTCAGCTGTAGGCTATGGAAATGTTTATGAGTCTATAAGCTATGGAAATGCTATTGTGACCTCTATGTTGTGGAAAGGGTATAAGTTATTTGGTTGAAACAAGTATGAAACTTATGCATCCTCTCCCTTGAAACAGCTCTGAAACATCTTTCTACTTTCACCCATTGAAAATTATATTAGAAAGCAGCGGTCTGAAAATAGCTTCACAATTTACCTATTTGGTTGATGTTTTGATTTTTGGCAGGAGAAGCTAAACCAAACATAGTTTTTATTAAATGGAAAGAGGCTGGACTGTAGATAAACATGTGTTTCGTAAAAATAGAAATATATATATGATACGAGATCACGTGCTTTTTTAAAGTATTGTGCTAGAGATAAATTAAAGTAGTAATAGATTTAATATTTTTACTGTTTTCATATGAAGCTTTTTTTATAACTTTTTCATATGAGGTTGACGAGCTTAGAGCCAGTGCGCTAGATCTGTTGTTGCTGGACAAATCCCGATGCATCTGCCAGATGGGGAGATGTTTTTCTCTTGATTTGTTTAGGTAGGTAGGGACATCAGCAGATATCACAGTGAGATCACTCTGGAATCCAACGGGCATTGGTTTGTCTTGCTTGGGGTCGTAGCTTTGCAATGGGAGATGTTTTTCTTTACCCGGGTATAAGTGTCGAAACGATCGAAATTTTTAGCGAGGAGGATATTTTCGGAGAAATCTATGCTTTCGTAAAGGTTGCTTTCTTCTTCATAGAACACAAACTATATATATGATTATTGATTTGGGCAAAACAATACCTATGTTGCAGCTTCTTTGGGCCTAATACTGAATGACCTGGTAGTGAAAGAGGTTCCTAAACGAAGAAATCAATCTCTATAATCTATGGATTCTTACATTTGATACCTGGTCGCTATGTTTTTTTTTTAGGGGAACCTGTGGTCGCTATGTGAGAGAGAGCAAAGGTGGCTGAATAACTGGGCCACAAAAGAAACGATGTGGCCTTTTTTTCTAGCCCAGCCCGAATAGTTACAACTAAATGGGCCAGGTTTGGTTCATAAAGCCCATATGGAATTTTCCTTCTGTAATATTTGGGCTTATACCAGTGTTTTAGTTTAGTGCTGCTTTACAAATGTGCAGAACTGATTCTAAAATTAAAAAAAAGTGCAAAATTAGGTACTAGAAAAAATAGCTTGCATCTATGTGTTGTGGACTGTTTGCTGTTGGTAGTATATTTGCCCATGCGGCCATCGGCCATGGCCCTGTTTAAAGTGGCCTGTTGTTTTAGCCCCTGCCCGCCCGGCTTCGAGACACCGTAGTCGCCTAAGCCGCCCGCTGTCTGTGCAGTGCATGATGCGGCCCAGTCGAGAAACGCCCTGAGAAGGCCACGAATGGAGGCACCCCACCCCCACACCCTCTCCCTCGTCGTATATAAGTCGTATAGATTCTCCCAAACCCACATCCTCTCCCCTTGGCCAGCTCTCTCAGGTCTCTCGCGCTGGCCTCCGCTCTCCCATTCTCGATCCAGATCATTGGCGTGGTCGGGTAATCTCCTCCCGTCACCCGGTGAGGCGGTGGCCGCATGACGCGGCAACTCCTCCACAGTCCCCAGCTTCCCCGCCGTCTCCTCCTCCCTCCTTTTCCTCTACTCTCACTCCTCACAGATGAACCATGTGAGTGTTCATGGCGATCCCTCACTGGGTCGATTCTAATCCATGTCTGTCTATCTCATCCAGCTTGCTTGCTGGCCTCTTCATCACCAAGACCGGGTACAGTTGGACTTCTTCCCAACCCTAACCCTAGATCTCATCATCTGACTTCTTCTTCGTCTTCTTCTCACTTCTTCTTCGGTTCTTCACTTCTTCTTCTAACTTCTTCTTCTTGCGTGCAGGTTGGCGCTGACGCCGCGTCTTCCTCCTCTGGAGTAGACATGGAGATGCCGAAAGCGGAGAAGGTTCTTTGGTCTTTGTTGGAGGATGAGGCTCGTCCATGATGGTTGGCCCAACGGGAGGGGTTCAACAATGATGAGGACCCGAGGGCGGATAACTTAAGTGGAAGTCGAGGGACGTGACATATGTGATGCGTGACCTTTGTGGCTGACAAATACAGCCCATCGATGTCGATGGCAAAACGACGATGGTGGAGTTTGAGGTATTGACTCATGGTACCTCCTCCGGTAAGAAAGTTTACTGCATTTGGGATTACTTCCATGAGATTAAGGAGAAGGAATTCAGTATGTGCCATCTGTAAATATTGTCATGCGTGATACCTGCTAGATCGAATTGGGCCTTTGGCCATTTGAACTATACATGAATTCTTGTATGAAAAAACGTGATGTAAGCTAGTCTTGTCCGGATCTAAGCTTGCTCACGAACTCGATGGTTTGAACAATTGGGTGTATGATCCTTTGATTGCTTATTCTTTGAGTTGCCTTGTTGATTGCTAGGCTAGATCTTCCTTTAGGGATAGGTGAGACCGATCTTTGGTGGATAGAAGAAGAAGAGAAGATGAGAGGTAGTCACTCAACATTCAAGTTCCATTTGCATCATTTCTTTACATCCAAGTATTCTTGGTACTAACATTGCTTTGCGAGCGAGGGAACTTTTGGTAAATGATCAATGAAGGAAGAACGTGTTGATGTTGTAATAGAATCACGACTTTTACATTGATGTGATCTGTGAACTCACTAAGTCACATGACTAAATGGCTATCCCCTATAAGACCTTGACATGCCCATATCAATTTTCCTTCTGTAATATTTGGGCTTATACCAGTGTTTTAGTTTAGTGCTGCTTTACAAATGTGCAGAACTGATTCTAAAATTAAAAAAAAAGTGCAAAATTAGGTACTAGAAAAAATAGCTTGCATCTATGTGTTGTGGACTGTTTACTGTTGGTAGGCTGCAATAATAAAGCAAAAAAAAGTGTAGTTTTTTAAAACAAAATAAAAGGAAAATAAACAAAAAATAGGCCAAGTGTGATGTGTGAGGAGACATAAAGGTCCCAAGCTCATACGCAAACGCAACCGCGCATATCTGATTTCGTCTCCAAAGGTTCACTTCACTTGCAATTGCAACGCCGAGCAGTCAACCTGGTAGGTCACCAGCCGGAACTCCACCGCTTTGCATTGATCTCCGATTGTGTCACACTTCACCGCCCTTCTCAATTATCCGCTGATCAGGATCATTAGACCATATCAATATATCATGGTTTACTCCATGCTGGAGCAAGGAAAATCTTGCTAGGTAGAGTGAAGTGTGGTCAGTGACGACAGTGATGCTTATTTGCTCCACAAGCTTACAACTCCTGGGCAGCCAGCTCATACCTCCATCTCGGCAACCACAGGAAGAAGAAAATGCTCACATATATCCGCTAGCTGCTGGGCTAAGTGATCGATCGCCATTGCTGTTGCACCTTCTCGCCGCCCTCGAACGTCTTCTCTGAACCCAGAATCCCACACCCAATGCGAAGCGGAACACGCTTGCTTGGAGTAGCCGCCGCCGTGTTCGCATGGCTCGCCACCTGCTCGCACGCGTTCCCCTTCCCCGTCCCCTTGCTCGAACCCTACACGAGCCAGAAGGACGGTGAGAGGAGCCTGCATGCTCGGTTGCCGCTTCCATCTCTGCTGATCCGAGCTTTCTCTGCTCTGCTCTGCCCAGTATATATACCTTGCATTTTGCAGACTGCATTGCAAAGGCTAATTAAGTTCTGTCATTTTTTTTGGTTTGGTAATGCATGCAGTTGATGCCATCAACGACCTGTACGCGTCGCTGGGCTCGCCGGACCTCGACGGCTGGACGGGCTCGGGAGGAGACCCCTGCAGGGAGGCATGGCAGGGGGTGCAGTGCGACGGCCCCAACGTGACCGCAATGTAAGGCTGCACGCCAGCTCTGTCCATCTCCATTGGCACTGCTCTGCTCTCCAGCCAACAAGATTCGTGTGCAGTTCACTGATGTGTCATGTGTGTCTACCTGGCTGACAGAGACCTCCGAGGTGCAGGCCTGGGAGGAAAGATGAGCCAGACACTTGGAGATTTCACTGCCATCACAAACCTGTGAGCATTCAAATTTCAAGGAGTGTGCTAGTTCATCATTTCTTTTCTTTGATCATCTTGTGATTCGATCGCCACTGGCACAGAGACCTGAGCAACAACCAAATCGGCGGCGCGCTGCCACAGAGCTTACCACCTGCGCTGGCACGGCTGTGAGAGAAAACCAACTCTGAATTTATCATTCAGTATCAGAAGCAGACCCTGTGTAGCTCAATCTCAATGATGTTTGCTCCTTGATCCTACTTTGCAGAGATCTTTCTTCAAATAGTCTCAGTGGAGAACTTCCGGATTCGATGGCAAAGCTAAGCTCACTGTCGACACTGTAAGTGCCACCCTTATACTGAGCTTTTCATTTTTCGGCATGTTCGCTGGTTGGTTTCTGGGCTGATAAGTCCGGCTTGTGCTGGTTTGTTGTGAGAGAAAAATACTGTTGGACTGACTGATAAGCCCTGGCTGAAACCAACAAGCGAACGGGTTGTTTGGATGGTTTGGTTGTGCCTAAAGTGATACATTTTTTCCCTGAATTTGCTGTGTACGTGCACCTTGTAGGCATGTGCAGAACAATCAGCTAAGCTGGGACACTCGACGTGCTTCAAGATCTTCCCCTGACAGATCTGTAATTTCTTTGTCAAACTCACACTGAAACGACATTTCTACTTCCTTGCTGTCCAACAAATACTACTCTCTGACACTGTCACAACTATCTTAACAACTCTTACTGCATTTCTCATCTCACCTAATCTTCACTCTCACCGATTTTTTTGAACATTTGCAGGAACGTGGAGAACAATCAGTTCTCTGGACCAATCCCAGACAAGCTGCTCTCAGTCCCCAAATTCCTGTAAGACTGATGAGCCATCACACTTTACCTCTCTTCTCTTCTCAAGCACACAACTGTAGTTCATTCATTGCCCGTCTAACTGACTGAAATTTGAAAAACGTTGCCGCTTGATTCTCTATTTGCAGAAGAAACGGCAACCACTTCACCATACCACCGATCCCCGGGTCCTCCCCAACTCCGGCGACTCTGCCGCCGCCTCCGGTTCATCCAAGCCATGTGCCACCACCAGCTGCACCAGAAGAGCCTCCGATCCTCTCTGGCTCACACCCACCTATATATGTGATTCCAGCTCCGCCACATGACGCCCCTCCGACCAGACACAAGGGCAGGGTGTCGCCGGCGAAAGCCGCCGGGTTCAGCATCCTCGCCGCCGGTTCGCTGAGTGTCGCCGTCGTTGCGATCCTGTTCACGGCGTCGAAACGGCGCAGGGAGAGGTCCCTTCGTGTAGGGTACCTGAGAGGAGCTGAGATGAGCACGCCGAGCTCGGTGAGGGCGCCTCCTACACTACGTGCAGTTGCAGTTGCCAAACCGGAGAAAGACAAAGACCCTCATTCAGGTACACAGAAGAGTAGAACCGTCATTTCACTATCATTTCTGCATTATAAGTTAATGTTTTTCTTTGGGTTAAATTGTTATCACTGAAGCTGCTGAGGAGAAGATCGAACGAACTCCGACAGATTATGTCAAGGCAGCAGGATCATCTTTCAAGAACAGCGGCAACGGGAGCATCGTGTCAGATAAGAAGAATGTTCAGCCCAGTTCAGAAGGCCCACCACTGCACCTGCAACTCCCTTTCACGCTCTTCACGGTTGCATCGTTGCAGCAATACACCAACGGTTTCAGCGACCAGGATCTGATGAGGGAGACCTGCTTCGGCAAGGTCTATCCAGCAGATCGCCCAACGGGAAGCAAGGTAGAGCAACCTTGCAAGAACGCCAACTCTGACGCGTACAGCCAGTTTCTTCAGTGCTGGCATTCTCGCCTCAACCATCCCCCCTGTGTTCTTCTTCTCTAGCTTTCAGTGCTGAAGCTCGACGGCGACACGGCGAGAACGCCTGTGGCTCAGTTCCTGAAGACCGTCCATGGCGTCGCCGGTCTCCGGCACCCCAACGTGGAGGAACTCGTTGGCTGCTGTGTGGAGCACGGGCAGAGGCTGCTCGTCTACAAGCACTTCAGCGACCGCACTCTGGATGACATGCTGCATTTCGAGCACGGGGCGTCTGAAGCTGGAGACACCCTCCGCTGGGATGCTCGGATTTCTGTGGCCCTCGAAGCCGCGAAAGCACTGGAGTACGCCACAATGGACACACTCTGCTTGCGTTGTTGAATTGAATCCAAGCTAGTGTAGCTGTTACTGAATGCGTGGATGAATCCAAGCTAGTTTTTTTGCTGATGAGCCTGTGTCTGTGCCTGGTGTGCTTTGCAATGCAAGGTATCTTCATGAGGGGGCCGGGAAGCAGGTGGTCCACCGGCATTTCAGGCCTGAGCACGTCCTGGTCGACGGCGAGCTGAGGGTGTCGGTCTCCGGATGCGGCCTTGCTCCGTTCGTGGCTCAGGTAATAATGCTCTGATCCGAAGAACAGTTCGGAACTTCCGGGTTCCCTGAATTCCATCGTGTGTGCAAGTGTGTACTGTACTGTTTGTCTGCTCGGCTTCAGCTCTCGGATTACTGCGGCGTGACGCTGAGCTACGAGCCGCCGGAAGCAGCCGGTGGCGGCGGCGCCGCGGCGTGGACACCCAAGGGCGACGTCTACAGCTTTGGTGTCGTGATGCTGCAGCTCCTCACCGGGCGCAGACCGTACGACAGCTCGCGGGCGCGGGGCGAGAGGCACCTGGTGCCGTGGGCGAGCGCGCGGCTGTACGACCTCGCCACGCTGGGGAAGATGGCCGACCCGCGCCTCGCCGCGTCGCCGCCGCCGGTCAGGTCGCTGTCGCGCTTCGCCGACATCATCAGCCGGTGCATACAGGTGAGTCAATTCATCATCGGTGCATGCACCTCAACGACGCGCGCGGCGGATCGATCGATCCATAAGCTTGATTCGTCTGCTTGGCGTGGCGTTGGCAGCAAGAGGCAGAGTTCCGGCCAGCCATGTCGCAGGTGGCGCAGGACCTGCGGCGCGCGCTGGAGGACGCGCGCGCGGGGACGGGGACGGGGAAGGGGAGCGGCGGCGCTGCACAGGCTTAGCTACTTGTGCTCATGCTCGGCTCGCCGATGGACTTGCTCTGTCACGTCACGCATGGAACGGAGCTGCACTGTGTGCTGTGCTCAGAACAGATCGGCCGACGCATCAAAGTTCGGCAGTTAACTGACGCAATGCGACTATACGTCCTTGCAAACCATGTAAATTTGATTGTATGCGTGCTTGTAAACCATGTAAATTTGATTGTATTGTTCTTTTTCTTTCTTGTACAAAAAGAATGATGAAATTATATATAGAACAGGTACAGCAGCGAAATTGATCGTCCTGACTCCTGAGTTTGCCGAGCAAGCGTTGCACCACAGGTTAATTTCTATACTTAATTTTAGGGGTCTAGTGCCAAAACTTCACATCACATGTTTTTAGGTTTCTCTTTGAAAACATTGTCGTTTGGTATTGGAGCCTCACAATCACTGTGTTTTAGTTTACTGTCCTAATAAAACTAATATAATTGATTAGTCAATTAATCTCAAATTGAACCAATACATATAAATAATAATAATATTTACAATGAAACCTAATTAGAGATATAAATGTCAATATTACTTTTCATAAAAACAAGTTAAACTTAAAGATATGGATATTATTTTTCTAAAGTCTGAGTGTACACTTACCCTCGTGGATGAACACACATGCACAAACTAACGCTATGAACATCTCAAAAAGAGCTAGAGCGCTGGACGTCTCACTCGATGCAAGCACTTATATCAAGTCGAGAACTTAAATTCAAGTGGATATCCTAATAAACGAGCTACACCCAGTTAGCTAAAAAAATCATTGACTTAACAAACACATTGTGTTAAATTCTGTGAATAAAAAAACTTACTCTGCACTAGAGGTTCCAAGGAATAATCATTAGACATGTTATGCATACTCATTATTAGAAAAACATGACTGCTAAAAAGAAGAGGGGCAATTGCATATCTGCCCTCCTTTTGACCTCTTACTGCATGCTTGCCCCTCTTTTTCTGAGTTTGCAGGTTTGCCCCCATTTTTTGAGTTTGAATGGTTGCATTGCCCCTATTCTGTTAACCAGGACTAACGGTGTGTGTATGAGTACATAAATACATATTTGCACTTGGTATAAAAAGCACTTCAATCCATTAGTAAGCATCATCTATTTTGTATTAGATAGTAAGCAATAGACTAGAGGTCCAGATCATATTTAAGCACCATATACTCTGAATGGTTGACTTGTCCAAATCACATCTAAAATTGTTTACATGTCCAGATCACATCAGACCAAAATAATGGCACTATATGCCTAAATGACATGTCAGATCACATATCAAGACCAAAATAGCGGCATTATATGCCAATATGACATGTCTATATCACATCTTAAGATCAAAATAATGGCACTAATTGTCAAGATGTCATGTTCAGGTGACGAGTCATTACATATCCAGTCAAATGATCATGTTTAAGCATTGAAGAAAGCAGCAAGCCTTGAAACATGAAAGTGCATCTAGCCCTTTAGTGGGTTTTGGATGATTGAATGACAACGTGATTAAAGGTCTAACCCGTTTGCTAAGTGTGGACAGGTGATAGGTTATCTCACAGGTACTTAATGAAAGCCAAAATGATGTGTTGTTGTATAAACAATCTAGTTCAAGCACAAGACAACAATGCAAATGGAATTCATGCAAAGGCTTGTTTATTGTGGGATTTCCATGTACTATGTAAAAGCAAGCTTGTGAGAATTAATTAATGAGACATAAGGGATTACATATGGAATAGTCTCATATTTGAAGCTTGCTAAATTGAAATGAAAAAGACAACAATACAAATGAATGGATGATTCAACACAAGATGTGACTTGATGGCTTGAGATGGTGAAGATAGCAAGGAAAGGCTTTGAGGTACTAAGTAAGGGTGAAGGGCAAGCGACGGCTTGGCGGCCGAAGAACCTAGCTAGGGTGAAGAAGAAAGTACTTGCATTTAGTTGAGGTACTAATCAAGCTACGATGGTCATATTGATGTGAAGGATCAAATCACTATTGGAGTATTTGATAGAAGTGACTTGATACATTTGGGATTATTCAAATTTGATGAATGGAATCAAGTCACGTACTCAAGATGGCTATGCTCAAGTGAAAAAGATCAATATCAACATGTTGGCACCCTCACTTGATGAAGATTGGAATACACGGCTTCGGTTCAAAAAGAGCAACTCAAAAGGTTTAAATTCGTTATACTTTTAAATTTGAGTAAATAGGAATGTCATACTATTAAGAGGGATGTATCATGTTGATAGATAATGTTTCATAAGTGCTCAAGTCAACCCATGTGAGTTTTGAGTATTTGAGCGACAAAGAGCCAACTTTATTTTTGCTGGTCTGGCAATACCGGACGTGTCCGGTATTTGCCCAGCAGCTGTAAAAGTGTTGTTCTCGGGTTGGTTCGTCGGGAGTTCCGACGTATGTCGGGAGTTCTGACGGTCGGAAGTTCCGGCAATGGTCGGGAGTTCCGACGACTCGCAATTTAAATAATTTAGAGAGTTCACTGTCCTAGTCATACCGGACGTGCCCGGTATGGACGACCAGAGGCCAACGGCTGGTTTTCCAAAGCCTTGAGGGTCGGGAGTTCCAACGTAAGTCGGGAGTTCCGACGGTCGGAAGTTCCGGCATGTGTCGGGAGTTCCGGCACCTCATATTCTTTAACTCAGTTACATGGTTTTCAAATTTGCTGAGGATCGGGAGTTTCGACGTGAGTCGGGAGTTCCAGCATTCTCGGGAGTTCCGACGCCTCACAACTTCACTGTAACTTAGTTACCGTTGGGGCAGTGTAAGTCATACCGGACGTGTCCGGTATTGCAACGGCTATAAAACGGCTAGTTTTTCAAGGGGGCTATAAATACCCCCAAGCCTCCACCTTTGGAGGCTGCTGATTCTGCTGATATACACACATGTTTTTGAGCCTTGCCTAGTCTTCTAAACCCTCTCTTAGTGAGTGTGTGATCCAAATTGCAAAATCAATTTATGGGTTAAGAGAGAATTTGAAAAAGAGAGCAAGCCACCACTTGAGCACTTGTGCATATTATCAATCTCGTGATTTGCATTTGTTACTCTTGGACTCTTCGGTCCTAGGCGTCGTCGGAGAGCAACCGAGAGATTGTGGTTGCTTCGGAAAGTTTGTAACGGTCGATTTCACCGCCTCAGAATCATTTAGTGGAAGGAGGAAAAGGAGTTGAAAAAGACTCCAGCTAGAGTGACCTTCGTGGTACCCTCTAGGGCTGACCTTCGCTGGGTCGCCCGCAGTCCCCTCAACGGAGAGTAGGACTTGGACGAGTCTGAACTTCGGTAAAACAAATATCGTGTCTCAATTCGTATTTCATTTGATATTTGTGTTGCTCTAGCTATTCTGCAGGTTCTCTGTGTATATTGTCATTTCCATTAGGTGCCTGCAGTTTGGTTTGAAGATAGAAATCGAAAGGAGCAAGTTCGGGGCTGATCTGCAGAAATCGTGTATACCGGACACGTCCGGTATTTCCTGCCTGCACTGAAAATATTTATTCTCTGTTCTAACTTGGTGTTGCAGGGTTGTAACTTCTAGATATATTTTTTATACCTTGTTTACTCTGTGGCTAACTTGTGAGGGGTGGTAGTACTCTTAATTTGGAGGAAACTCCCCTTTCTAATTGTTTCTGCATTCAAAGGTGTTAATTTTCAGAAACGCCTATTCACCCCCCTCTAGGCGACATCCTAGGTCCTTTCAATTGGTATTAGAGCAAGGTTCTCACCTAAAGCTTTACCGCCGTGAGAAAAGGATGTCGACGTTTATCGAGTTGGAGCCGGTGGTTCTCCAAAATGATGGTTCAAACTTTCTACCTTGGTCAATTCATGTACTCAATGCTTTTAGACATATTAGTTCTATTGTTGAGCATATTGTGTTTGCAAGCATATCTCTTCCTATAGTTGATTGGAGCAACTATAAGAATTTATCAAAAGAGGAAGAGATATGCGTGCAACTCAATACTCAAGCTATTAATATCATTTTGAGTACATTGAGTGCAGAGGTTCAAGATGAGGCAATATTCAATGGACAACCACCTCCGGAGAGTGCTCATCTCATTTGGATCAAACTCGTTGAGTTATATGGAGAATCCAAATGCGATGATGCACTTGAGGTCGAGTCAATGGAAAGTATGTCCATTGTGTCTTCATGCAGCAAAGAATCCTCACAAGACCTCAAGAGCGCCGAGCCGGAGCAAGAAGTGCAAGCAAAGACACATGACTTTCTTGTGTCTTTCGCTTTATCTGGGACGTGTCAGTATGCCCACCGGACATGTCCCGGTATGGCCGAAAGGACAGAACCGAAGCAATCTGCTTGCTGGCGATGCTCAAGCCTGGTGGCGACCAAGTGATGAGTCAATCTCAGTATCTCATGATACTCATCACTTGTGTCTCATGGCCAAGAAAAGTAAGAAGAAGAGTAACAAGAAAGATCAAGAGAAGGAGAAAGCACAAGTAGATGATTAAGATGAGAGTGACGTTGAAGTTGAAGATAACTACAACCTTGATCATCTCAACCACAAAGACAAGTTCATCATCATGAAGATAGTTGAAAAGAATGATGAGCTTGAAGAAGAGATTGAGAAGCAAGAGCAATCACTTCAAAAGCAAGAATTGTTTCTCATCTCTAAGATGGAAGAACTAAAGGCTCTAAGTGAAAGGTATGAAAAATTGTCAATTGAGCTTGCTTTAGTTACTAACTCCTCTTCTAGTGTTTCCCAACTAGAGAAGGAAAACTTAGAGCTCAAGGCAAGGCTAGATGAACTATCAAGCAAGTACAATGTGCTACAAGCTAATTATGTTCATCTAAAGTGCTCTCATGAAGAATTAGTAGAATCAAGCATTATGCTTGAGGTAGCACATGAGGTTGTGATCACATCGGTAAAATCCTCTCAACCTCTCACACATTCACTCACTAGTACACCATCTCAATTAAATGTTTCTTGTACTAATGAGTGTGCTCCTCAAGCAAG